TCCTGATCCAGGGAGGCTCTGTGTTGTACCAAATACCTTCCACTTCTTAATAATAGGCTTCACTGTGCTTCTAGGCATTGATAAAGCCTTTGAAATGTTTTTGTCTCCATCTCCTGACTTGTGTCTGTCCACAGCTTTATCCCGGAGATCTTTTGACAGTGTCTTGCCACCCATAGCTGATTGTTTGCTTCAGTTGCTCTACCAAGGACTGAAATGCTCCAGGAAAGCTCTTTTCATGCTGAGCTAATCACAGCTGAAAGTCAGATGGCTTTGTGTGTCATTGAGAAGATGATGAGCTGCACCTGATTGAGTTTACAAGTCATTTTTAGGAGGAGCTGATTCTTTTTCCAACTCAGTGATTCTGTTTTTTTATTTTATTTTTTTTCTCTGACATGTTGGTGTTTTATCTTTCATTGGCCCCCGGTTTCACAGACAAGGCTTAAGCCTAGTCCCAGACTAAAGTGTAAATCTGAGCTGTTTCAACTGAAAGAAAAGGAAGGGATAAGAGCTTGAGGTAAGCATGTTTTAGTTTTAGTTTCTTGTCACATTTGTATCGGCTGGTCAGTAAACGTGGGTCGTAGCAGCAAACACACTGTGCGATGATAATTGTGCAGTGTGTCCCGGGCTTCAGTTGCTCTAGCAAGGACTGAAATGCTCCAGGAAAGCTCTTTTCATGCTGAGCTGATCACAGCTGAAAGTCAGATGGCTTTGTGTGTCATTGAGAAAGATGATGAGCTGCACCTGAATGTGTTTTCTAAGGCATGTTAATAAAAATTACTTACATTTTCTAATTGAACAATGGCCTAATCCTGGCTTAGTCTAAACCCTGTCTGTGAAACCGGGCCTGGATGTTATAAGTTGCACTGAGTAGATACAGCTGGATAAAACAAAAACGGTGTCCGTCTTCATTTCAGCCTGCAAAGCAACAAAATGTGATTATTTTAAAGGAGGCTGATTCTTTTCTATACTCACTGTACGTGTACAGCTTGTTTTTTTTTTGTTAAGGTTCTTTATAAGTCTTCTGTACAAAATGTGTGTTATATGAGCTGCAGGGACAGGATTTTATCCCACTAAATAACTGATATCTGTCTTTCTATTGGGCTCTCCTGATGTTGAAGTGTCCTAACCAGGCGCGACAAAGCGATAGCAGCTGCAGCGCTAGACATTTTGTCTGTCGCTCGGTCTCTACTTTTGGAGAAAAATGGCTGGGCTCCTGGTTAGGACACTGTTATTTCTAGAGCAGCAGCTTTGTTTGAGAAGTGTTTCTCAGCAGCAGTGCAGAATATCTGCTGGATCTGGCGCTGCTGGAGGTCTCGTTGTTGGATGGGCTTGAGGACCTCACTGTTTTAATCTCTCAGTGTGAATGTAAGTGATAATAGATTATGACCGCAGAGCTCATCCCTCAGTGACCACGGCTCAAGCCCTAACGGATCCCTTCAGTCCAATCTAAAGTGATGAATCGAGAGCTTTTCCGCTGGAAGAAGCCCAGAGCATTACACTTTATTAGTGACGTTTCAGCTGCTGCCTCGACAGATCATTTTATGGTCAGTTCTCGGACCAGCCATCGTTGGCTTCTCTGACTCAGAGATGAAGCTGATCCTCTGGAAAATTTCATCAGCGGGATGTTGAACTGATCCGTTCGGTATTAAAGCTCTGTGCCGCTCCCTTCAGAGAGAAATTGCCAATTGATTCTGCTTTCAGAGGAGGAGCATTTAGTGTGACGTCCAGAGAGACTGAAGTGGATTAGTATCTTTTCTGACCTCTGTGTCCAAAAAGGCTGTCTGCTGTGAAAGCATCTCTCCCTGTGTGTTGTGTGGATATAAATCGGCCAGGTTTTCAGTATTCATGCGCTGATAATGCATTTACAATGCAGATTTTTCAGATCCTCACAGGATTTCTGAGAGCAGTGTGTCGGCCAGCTGGAGATCATGATCCTGCTTCTAGAGGAAAAGCATCTTTCTCCTTTGACAGTCATTCAAAACTGTCCATGTATCATGTTTTTCCCGATCAGTATGTCATTTTATTTTCTTCAAGTACATGATTTAGTCTCTAATTCTTGTTTTTCTTGTTAAGATGAATGGAAATGCTAATGGCTAGAGGTCTCCAGGTCTCATATCGTACTGCAAACTCTTTTATTTCATAAGTAAGTAGTGCTGAGGA